GTGAGATAACCCAATTTCAAAGTAGTAAGGTCACGCATGAAATATTCCTTGCTTTGCATATTTTTCTGCCTGTTTCTTGGACGCTTTACTGCGTGGTTTGTGAGTGCAAATCCACAGATGTAATTTTTTACGAAATGTAAGATTGTGTTTCAGTCTATATACTTGTACTGCTTGGTACTTAGCGGTCTAAGTTCATTTGATATTGTTCTTGTCTGAAACCTTCCATTGAAAGCAATGTGTATTCTCTGGCTTATCTAATCAATGCAGTTTATGAACCTAAATATGCACTGTTCAAAGAAGGGCTTTTTGGAGTTAGCCTTAAATAGGCCATTGATCGAGGAAGTGATTGTTCCTGTTATATTTTGCAGTGACATTTAGCCTGGACTATTTCTGGACATTGTGTTAATGAATTTCTGTTTCTTTCGTTTAAGACATTGCTTCTACAAAGAGAATATAAGCTTAGTGAACTGCTCTTCAGGCTATTTCGAATTAGGTCCGTAAAGGTTTCTTACGAAATTTCCCTTGACTATTTTATCTGCATGTGCAACCAAATTAGTGTTGTATCTGGTAAATGATTTAAAATGCAATTATCAGAAGTTGCCGATTTTTTCATTTCAGTCAAGGGGAGCTTTAATTACATTTTTGTGGCGATTATCGAATGTCCTGGAGTGTTCAGCAAACACCTCATGCTAGTGATGGGTGTCAAACCTTGGCTTGAATTACTTATGCAAATGAGCTGGCTGCACATTGAGTGTGCAGCTAGCTTATTTGCATAGAATTTTTTTCTGGCGCAAAGCTCGTCATGACATATACATGTAATTTATGCAAACTCAGGTTGCAGAAGTGCTGTTTTAACATCTGATATAAACATGAAACAAGGTGACAGAGTAAAATATTTGTGTAAATGATTAAATGAATTGAAAAGTTTAAGTTATTAGCCCTTTTACTCCAAAAATGAAATGCTTCTTAATTATCAATACATTATTTGAGTAGAAAATTGGCAAGAAGTGAGAAAAATATATACAAATTATTGTATGACTAAACACGGAATACTAAGGGCTAAATTTACAAGAAAGGCACAGCAGAAAAGGGCAGATAATATTGATCTTTTGATGGTAGGAGTGAAAATGTTGAAAACCTTTGAGGAAAAGTAAAGGTGGTCACTATGACAACATTATTATCTTTGTATGGGAAGATATTAATGGTACTCTATTGCATGAAATTTTGTACTTAGAACATGTAGCTAAGTTAATTATTTTCATGGTCCAGATTTTCTTTTGCATCTCTGAACAATGAAAAGATTAGGATAGAGGCTATTTTAGCACTACAGTGTACGTCATCCTTTCAAAACAACTTCAGGACATTTACTTAGGCCAATGGTGTGAAGGATTTACATTCCCCAAACTATTTTTTTGAGTCTATGGATAATCATCAGAAACCTCCTTCGTAATTTTTGGCCTAAACCTTGTCATCAATGTTAAAGTATGAGTCCTATTTTAAAGAGGTGAAGTCTCCATGTTTCTGGAAATTCATAGAGCTCCAAAAAAACAGTTGAAACAGTTAATTTACAAACACAATTGCATGTTTACAGTAACCCTATGCAGTCTTTTTGTAACTTTATTCTGATTAAATAAGAATCTTACTTAAATATCTTTTTGTTCACAGCTTGTTGGCAATCTTTTCATATTTGTATGTGCCAATATAACAGGGGTTTTTACAAAGTATCCCACTGAGATTTCACAACGCCGGGCTTTCTTAGAAACTAGGCGATGTATAGAGTCAAGGTTGACCATCATGAAAGAGAACCAGAACCAGGTACTGTTTGATATTATTTCATTTGAACTTGAATACTTTTTACTCCAGGGAATGAAAAATGTGAACTGGATTTAATCTATTTCAGTATGTCTCATGTCATTTGACTGGTAAGAACTGAAGTGTCTCAACCTGTGTTATTCCATGTCCACAACCAGACTTGATTGAGTCGGCTATTTGCAAAATTTGACCATTGGAAAATGTGTTGTTTTTAAAATACATTCATTGGTAGAAAATTCATTTTGAAGGATGAATCTTGTGTCAAAATAGAGATATGCCATGTTTAAATGATCGAGAGTTGTGACTTTCAAATGCCCACACCAAGTCATATTTTTTGTGGTTCCTGGTGGCTTACTTTCCTCTTTTTACTTCCTGGGCAAGTGATCTTCTGCCAAAGATATTGCCACTCTTTGCAAAGTTCATATTTACTCTCCAAAAAATGGGGGAGAGTCAAATGTGACCCAGCACAGGAAAACGGACACTAGCGCGCTTTTCCGTTAACGGTCTAGAAAAACGGTTTTAAATGGATAGTAAACGGCTAACAAGCGTTTAAACGGTTTCCATAACCGCTTAAACGGATGGCAAAAAATTTAAATGGTTGACCAAAAAGGGATAGCTTAGGTCTTCAAACAGTCGACCAAAAATAAAATTGGATAGCACGAAACGTTAAGCGGTTGACCAAAGTCCAAAAATGGATAGCTTAAACAGAGAAACGGTTGACCAAATTTGACAAATGGAGAGTTAAAATTTTATTTAATGTTAAACGGTTGTGGTTGAGCCGGCGAGATCTTCTGCTGAAAAACTTTCCAAGTGACAGTGGATAATTATCTTAAAGTGAAAACATTGAGCATGATAATTAGAAAAATAATAACTAGTATAATTATACTTGCACATTTTATTTCTGGGTTAACTACTGCTGTTTTCGTGTGACATTCATGGAATAGGTGCAATTTTACTGAGAATAGTTTCGCTGCCAAATATCCTGAATGGCTACTACGAGAAACTCATAATCTTCTCCTTTGTTTATTCTTATTATTATTGAAAATGAACTTCATGTTTTTTTTGTTTGAAGTTTCGTGAAACAAATTTGCATACACAATGCGGCGACCTTGTCGGAAGCCGAGACACTTCAAGGTCAAATAACGCAATGAAGTTCCATTGCAAATAAAAGGTCTAATTGGTGTCCCGCACCAAGCGGGGCCGTTGAAATGATTGTCAATAAAACCAAGAAACATGAATCAAGATGATATAAACAGAAAGAGAGTAGCCAATTTAGCAGTCCAATTCGGCAGTCCATCTACTGGGGGTCTGCGAAATGAACCACGCATCTTCCTGTCTTTCGACCAAGTGATCTGGTTGACTAGCCCTTCTCAATCTCACCATGCGATGGCCTAAATTTCTGAGGTAAATAAAATTTAATTGTCTATGAGGAATGATTCAAAACTATGACGTGGGAGCCACGAGAGGGTTATCTTGATTTCAATAAATCTGTAAACAAAATCAGGCGTGCTGTTTTGATCAAACAAGATCGATGGCAGGGTCATGGTCAAATGATTGGCCTCATTGCAATTGGCTCTCAAGGCAGGTTTTTGCAAACAGATATTTTAACTTAACTTGTTTGTCGAAGGATGCAGCGGTTATTTGCTTTCTATGATCATGCATAAGATAAAACCAAAATAAGATATGGTCGTTCTGTATTTCAAGAACCGGGGAGTATAGAGCAAATGTAAGATTGATACTTTGAACTGCTCGTAGCAGAATGATAAACAAACAGTCTAAAGCTGTCCCTGAAATGTTAAACGGATAGCTTTTTGTTAAACGGATAAGCAAACCATTTAAATGTGTTTGCTACAGTGTTAAACGGATCCAATTTTTTTTAAGCAAATGTACATTTTTTTAAACAGGTGAGCAAACCGCTTAAACGTTTTGGCAAAAGCATTAAATGGATGCAAATTTTTTTAAACGGATAAGCAAACCACTTAAACATTTTCGCTAAAGCGTTAAACAGATGCAAATTTTTTTCAACAGATAAGCAAACCGTTTAAATGCTTTCATGACCTGTTTAAACGGATTTAAATGGATAGTAAACAGTTTTGCATTTTAAACGGAAAAGCATTAGTGTCCGTTTTTTCATGCAAGGTCACAAATTGAGGTATTTCACGAATTAGGCTGACAAAGGGGTGTCAGTGTATCACAGTAGAAACAGGATTCGGAGATCCAAAAATTGGAGAACTGTGCCTCTCAGAGGCTGCCTGCAGAAATAAATTCCACTAAATTGGTGCGCTCCTGTACCTGTGTAGCCCAGCATGCAGCAGTAACATACTAGAGTAGATGAATGTTGCTAACAGGTGAATTCAAAATCAGACTAACAAAATTTTCTCTCAATGTAGGAGCGTCTATTACTTTCTGTTTTACCAAGATTTGTGGCTATGGAAATGAAAGCAGATATAGAAAGTGGGGCATCTGAAACAATGCAGTTCCACAAAATTTACATACAAAGACATGAAAATGTCAGGTCTGTAACAGTGAGTCTGAAAGTAGCAAACATATTATTAGTCCTTGATTTCTTCTACAGTCATTTATTTTAATTGAGACTTTGGTTCTTGGTGGGTTTTTCAGTGGTTTAGTCAGTGAAAAGTTTGTCATCCACTATGGAGCTCAGCGAAGAGCTTGCCCTTATTGGTGGTTGAGAGCTTACTTGTGGTCATTACAGTGAATATAGAAACTTGTTTTTCAAAAATAATGAACTATGTTCAAAATATTTTCATTTTATTTTTTGTTTCTGTTGGATTTCCACAGTGAGTGGAACAACTTCTGCAGCACACAATCTGCAGATAACTTTGGACAAAGGCTCTCTTCTGAAGGGTTTATGTAGCTTTTTCAAATTTTGTATTGATTTGCTAACCTTTTTCAATTTTTACTTAAGTAAATACCAATCAATTGGATCCTTAATCAGCTTTACTTGGGAAAAGTTGTTTCTCCCAAGCTGAATTTATAGGCAGATCTTCATTTGGAGGGTAAAAGTGAGTGAATATAATATGACCAGTATCACTCTAAGCTGGGGATCAAATTGTGTGCAGCAGTTTCCTCAAGTTTTTTTGTTTTCTTTTGTTTCAGTATATTGTTTGCCGATATTGAAGGATTCACCATGCTTTCATCTCAGTGCACAGCTCAGAAGTTGGTTCAATATCTCAATGAATTATTTGCCAGCTTTGATATGCTTGCTGTGGTATGAACTTTCCTTTCCTCAGAAATTCGTTTTATATTTTAGCAATTCTGCAAACTCTTTCTTAGTTCACAATGTAAATTGTCCACCGTAAAGAGGTAAAGAGTTAAAAAGCTGACATTTCCAGCGTTGGCCCTTCATCAGAGCAAATGGAGGAATTGTAGGTTGTGTGTGTGTTTACATTTAGAAAGTGGAGCTACACTATTGGGGGAATGTGGTGATGAGAAAAACAAGAAGAAATTAACATGTATGAAAGCAATCCTTGAAGTACACCTTTTGCTGCTCATTCCTGCAACATATACATTCATTTAGTACGTCAACAGTTGTAATAATAATAATAATAATAATTTATTTCTTATATAGCGCTATTTACAATAACAGATCAATAGCGCTTTACAACTGATATCTCTAAATATTAAAATCTCATCTAATTAAAAAAAATAAATAAATAAATAATAATTACATATTTCAGTTAAATTGGCTATATAGGGTTCATAATTTATCTACTATTAAAAGGTTTGCCTAAAAAGAAGAGTCTGAATTGGATTCTTAAAAATTTCTACAGATCAAATATTGTGTAATTGCAATACGGCAAATACATATTCAGTAGCACTTTCATACTTCATTAATGCACCAAACTTTTCATATTGCTATTAGCATATTGTATTAACATTCAATAGCATCAACTGATGAACAATTGCACCTTTTGACAATCAAAGATAACTAATTTACTTTCAATCCCGTCCAATGGTTAATATTAACGCCAATAAAAAAATTAATTGCATAGTATGACAATCAATGTTGTAGTAGAGACATACAATAAATCAATTTGGATAGAGGTGCACAGTCAATTGCACCTTCATACAACAGTTTATTAGAAATGGCCAATCATTAACATGAACTGACAAACTGACAAACATTGGTATTTTTCAAATAAACAGTAGGAAGAAAAAATATTCATTGGTATCATTCATCATTTTGATAGTTACATGTATTTCAAAACACTGAACAAAAATGCAGGGGTATGATTGTATATTGTCATTTAAATTGTTATTTTTGGCACAATCTTTTGCTGAAGCACATACAAAATGAAGAACACTGTACACGTACAGTACTGTAACAAACAGAATACGCTTTATGTATGTTGGCCGATGTAAATGTTTTTGGAAGAAGTGCAAGTTATGTAATAGATGACATTGGTGGAGGTGGGTGCGAAATGCTCAAAATGTCAGCTTTTTAACTTTTTACAGTGGCCAAGTTACATTATCAATGTAGTTGATTTAACCAAATTACCTTGTTACTCCCACTGATGCAGCCCCACAGTTTCTTCAGAAACTTACCCCCTTCATTTCTATTGTAGTCATATAAATTATTTGACATTGGATGTATGATTTATTTAGAAATAACTTTAATTCTACCAGTGAATCATACACAGTACATGAATGGTAGAACTTTAGCCTATTAGCTACCAAGTGTTCCTCTCACCTCCACATAATTTAAGATCACTGAGGAATCAGGAAAGCTTCCAAAAACAAGCTCTGTCTGTCAAAACTTGGATCAATGTGCTGAATCAATGTTAAAAAAATTCTCAAGCTATGGCATAATGGAGTAGACATGAGAGATATTGATAAAATTTTGATAGTTTTTGTAGCAATAGACCTTTTCATCATTCTTTTAAGTATTCAACCACTTTTTTAATTTACTATTCAGGCTCAATGTAAGGTCCTAAGTTTTGGCCTATGTTAAGCAGCAATGAGCCAGTGTGATATAGTTTGTAAAGGACTCATCAATCAGCAGTTTAATCAGGTTGTTTTCCTTTCCAAGGAAAACCATTGTCTGAGAATCAAAATATTGGGAGACTGCTATTACTGTGTGTCTGGATTACCAGAGGCTCGTCCTGACCATGCTCACTGTTGTATAGAGATGGGCTTAGAGATGATTGATGCCATTGCGTAAGTTCTTTGTTTTGTGTTGCCTTCAGTCTTTTGTTATTTAAGTGCCACTATTATAATGGAAAAATGTTTATTTGTCCGATCAAGCTCTGTGAAACAGTATCAAGTAATTTATACAAAGAGACAGTTGTTAACTTTTTTCAAATATCTCTCCCAAATTGTAGTAACATTTATCTAACTATGAAGACTGCTGTACATGATCTGGAGAGTGTATAAACTAAGATGTCAAAAGATTGAAAACAGTCCTTAGGGCTTAAGAAAGAGTGTCTTGCATTTGGAACTGATTTCTGTCATGCTGCAAGTGTGCATGGTGGAGAACCAGTGCTGTCTTTTAACTTAATATTTTCAATAGACACTAGATTTTTATTAGCAAATATTTGTACCCTCATATCAGTGTAATATTAAGCAAGGTTACCCTTATATTGCTGTTAAGATGTTTAGTGCTGCTTGTATATGAAGGATTTTAATTTGCACTATGATGCAAGATGTTCAGCTACAGATATATGTATATTTCTGTGATGACATTATTATTGTTCTTCTTGTTTTATTATTTATTATTATTTTATTGCACTTATTCTAATTATAGTTAGCGATTATACTAATTATTTATTTCATATAGGAGTGTACGTGAAGCAACTGGTGTTAACTTGAATATGAGAGTTGGCGTTCACATGGGAAAGGTTCACAGTGGGGTGTTGGGACTTGTTAAGTGGCAATATGATGTGTGGTCAGATGATGTAACAACTGCAAATCACATGGAGTCTGGAGGACTGCCAGGGTATTTCTCCAAGTATCTAAATATTATTTGTTAATGCTTAATTATATTACTTCCCACTGTGAAGTCATATGTACCAAAGTCCTAAAGTCCCTATTCACCCTCAGAGGTTTTTATATATTTGATTCTTTGTGTTATCAGGATTAATCTCCAAAAAAATTTTGTGATTGATTAAATATTTCCCAAGATATGCCGCCTCAAAGTTACTCTTTTGGCCACGCCCTATTGACTTGGCCGGGAGAGAATTACTGGGCCGAGTGACGTCACAGCAAGAAGGAATGTTAACTTCTTGTATAAAAACATGTGTTTATTCCTGTAAAATGATGTGAAAATGCCGACTCGTTGTATGGTCACTGGTTGGTCAAATACACCAGATTCGTCTAAAGGCATATTCAAGTGAATGTTAAGGCAAATTGATTGAAAGACATTCTTGCTGTGACGTCATGAGGGACTTTAGTTACCAGTATTAACTTAGCCAGGCGAAATCAAAAGGGCGTGGCCAAAGGACAAACTTTGAGACGGCATATCTCGGGAAATATTTAATCAATCAAAAACAATATTTTTGGAGATTAATCCTGATAATGCAAAGAATTGAAATATGTATAAACCTCTGAGGGTGAATAGGGACTTTAGAGGGGAAGGCGTAAGCCAGTTATTAAATTGATTTATTGTAAATCCACCAACAAAGCAACTGGTCCTTCAGCATTTTCTGAAAAAAAAAAAAAACAACATCCAAACATATTGGCAACTTTTTATCCAGCAAAGAATTCTTTGTAGTAGGCATGGCCTCTTGCCAAGAAGCAAATACAGAGATAGGCTATTATGGATAGGAAGTGTCATGACCTACAAACAAAGCAATCAATAAGATAGGATGAAAACCTAAGCTGTTAATGTATCATATTTTCTAGTGAGCAACACTAATATACTCAATGTTCAAATTAAGTCAATGTACAAAACAAAAAGGTCTTCATTTGGGTAGGGATTTTTACTTTTTATAACAATAGTAGTTTTTAAATTCCTTGGAGTGGTAGGCATGTAACTTATTTTGATTTCAAAATACACATCCAGCAAAATTCTCTAGCTTCTCAACCAAATGATGTCATGGTGATGTATCATCAACTTTTTTGGCCAATACAAGGGGAAACATTGTAACTGTATTTATTTGGTGGCAAATAAGGATGAAAACTTCTGACCAGTCTGTGCCAATTTGACGGAAAATTGGCTGTTGGGGACCAGAAGTTTAATGCTAGCCTGCAGTGCCGGCGTATTTTGGGCGCACGGGTGCACATTTTCGTATTAGGCCGTCATCTTAGATTTGGTAACTGTGGAGGATTGGGGTGAGGAAATATTTGCCGAGGGAGTAGGTGTTAAGTGGAAAAATGGGCAACGGGGGAGAGGGAGGCCGTCATCTTAGATTTGATAACTGTGGAGGATTGGGGCGAGGAAATATTTGCCGATGGCATAGGTGTTAAGTGGAGAAATGGGAAGTGGAAAAATGGGCAACGGGGGAGAGGGAGGGGAAGAAACTTCCCCTCCCTCTCCCCTGTTGCCCATTTTTCCACTTAACACCTACTCCCTTGGCAAATATTTCATCGCCCCAATCCTCCACAGTTACCAAATCTAAGATGGCGGCCTAATACGAAAATGTGCACTCATGTGCCCAAAATACGCTGCCACTGCAGGCTAGTTTAATGCTGGTCACTGAACTGGTGCTTGAACACGAGAAGTAAACATTTTGAGCAAGGAACTATCTTTGCATTTTTGTATTTTGACACAAAGTAAAATTTTTACGGCCTCTTTTCCAGTGCTCATATAAATGATACATTTGAAATCTCCATTTTTTTGCCATTTGGGTATGGGGTAGTTGCATAATTTGGAGCTTCTCCTGGTGTTGCAATGTTCTGCATATATAGTATTGTTGCTGTCATTGTTATTTCTTGCCAGACGTGTTCATATAACAGACTCTGTACTGAACTGTTTAAGTGGAGATTATGAGGTTGAAGAAGGGCGTGGACAAGAACGGGATCCTTATCTGAAGCAGTACAATATTGAATCATACCTTATTGTAGCTGAACATCCAAGGGTAAGTCTGTCGTTTACTTTGTCAGTCAGTTTAGTATTGAAAGCTAGTTATACCTTGAAACTTTGACTATTGCAGCAGTTTTTCAAATTGTTCCTTTTGTGTTGTTATAAACAGTGAAGAAGAAAAGAGGTTTTGGAAAGGTAGTTATAAATGTTAAGTGTGAAACACAGTCAGAAATATATTTGGTGATTGCATTTCAAGCAGTTTCATTAGCAAATTATTGTATTTTGAAAGAAGAAGAACTCATCTTTAATATTAAATCAAGTGACCATTGTAAAATTTGTCTTTGGGTTAGGAGATTTTTTCTTTAGTAAAAACAATGTACACTTTGAAAATTTTAGTCATGTGCTTCATACACCATTGTTTAATTACATCAGATTAATGAGAAAATTTAGTATTCCTAAGAATGAATAGAAATGATTGTTCTAGTATCTCTTAGAAATAAAATTACTTTTAAAAAAAGATATCACTACAGGGTTTGCAACCATGGATGTGCAAATGATGCTTGTTTAGTTGATGTTACAGTCTTCAATTTACATGCACAAAAAGATACATTTGTCTGCTTTACTGGTTCTGTAATGATTTTTAATGTTTCGGGAAGATATGCTACTGTCTAGGAGAGGCACTGGTGGTTTACTGCTTTTCCTTTCACAGCTGTACAGGATAGTTGGTTTACATCACTTAGCCATTATTTTAAATTGAGTCTGTAAAGCTTGGAGTGTAATGAATCATTGAAATTAAGGATATAGGAGACCTTCACATGTGTCCTTTGTGAAAAAATTGAAAAACTTGATTTAGAGTCACAACTAATAACAAACATTTTCTCTTTCCTCCCATAACATATTTTTTTACTCCAATGGAATGCACTCTCTTGGTGTTGCACTATGTAGAAGGTATGCAAGGTTATTTGCTCAAGTTTGCACATAGTTGTGACTGATAAAACAATAAAACAAGATAAAATTGCATCCTTTTAAAAGTAGTTGATGTCATCTTCTGTTAATGAATAACTTGTTTCCTCTGGATATTAATTTTTTTTTTTTTTAAGTACAAAGGAAAAGTATCACAAACTTCAACATCAGAATGAGGTTTTGCGAGAATGTGTGGTCTGAAGTTACACAAATTTAAAGTTTTGTACTTTGAAATTCCCTTAATGGCCCAGTAAAGTTGCTGTTCTATGCCTCTTAATTGTTTTTGGGTTTGCCTTACATTGTTTCTCAGTATTACAAGAACTGGCAATACCTATGATTGTATTTTAGAACATGCAACATCAATCCAGTTCTTCCAAATGATTTTTTAATTATTAAGTAATTAAATTTTAATTGTTACAAAGGTTAACAGGTATTCACTGAAGATTTCTTTCAATACCTGCAGCGAAAAAATACAGCTTTAAAAGAAACCAAGCAAGATGATCAAGACAAGAAAATGCAGGCAAGGTAAGTTAAATTTCATGTCTGTTGGTTTGCAAATAAGTAAGCATCAGAATTTTTGCCACAGTGGTTGTGGTGATTTGTCTTCTGAACAATAGAGGTAGCAAATTGAGTTCAATTTGTTTGACAGTGAAAATGTGTGGCTGTAAGTGGTTGTAATTTTTTATTAAAAAGGGTTGTCATGTCCAAGCTCTCGAATCTTGACTCAAAATCTTGAAACTTGACTTGTGCCTTGATTGTTGAATTTATCACAAAGTGATGGGTGACAAATGGATAATCAGTGTTTAGAAACTGCTCTTTATGCCGTATAGCCTTGAAATATTTCAAAATTTACACCTGCAATAACACTTGAAATGGTGAGAATAATTGTTTCTCTTTCAACTGGTTTCAGTGATTAGAACTGTGGCATGCAATTGACATTTGAAATATTTTTCCCACCTAAAAAGCTGTCAACTGTGATTCTCAAAGTTCCCTCCATTGTACTTTTACACTTTAAAACTTTATGCTTCTGAAGGAGCCAACATCCAGCCATCTTGACCTCATGCTTGGTCAATAGCACATATATTTTTTTGTCTCAGTTGTGAGCAGGGGTATTTTACAAATCCTGTGATCTAATTGGTTCCAAGAATGGGAAGTATTTTCCCATTGGGCCTGCTCTCATCAAGTGGTATCTGTTTTGTGTTAAGTGGCTTTGTAGAAGGTCTTTAGCCTTTTTTGCAATTCTTCTTAAATTTATCTTGTTTTGCTGGCTGGGCAGCATTTTTATGGAAAGATGTACAGTGGAACCCCGTTAATACTACCACGTTCGGGCCATGGAAAACTGGTCGTATCAACGGGGTGGTTGTATTAACGAGGTAGGGTCACATTATGATGCAACACGTTTTAAACATGTACAGCACCTTTAATTTCTTCAACCTTACAACAGCAATTCATTGCAACTGAACAAAACCGAGTACATGTAATGTCAAAAACAATACTGTACTGTAACATCTTTCAGTTCCTTAACAGGATACGGCCTCTTGTTAAATGTCTGGAAGAGCCCCTCTTTAGTTAGGTTTATAATGGACAAGAACAGCAGAACTTATACAAGTCTGATCAAATCGGCTTAATTTTAATAGTACGTTAATCATCCGTACTAAGCGAAAAACAAGAAAAAACGAATCCTATTTTGGGCATGGTCTACTTTATTGTTGCTTACAGCCCGTTACACAGTCATTAGCAAGCTTAAACGGTTTTGAAAAAGTCTGTGAGCTTCGATTGGCTTCACCTTTGCTTAAGCCAATCACTTTGTACAGAATAAATAACTTTTACGAGATAGTTAACAGTTTTCATATTGCCCTTTGCCTCTAGAAAATTTAAAACTTCTTGCAAGCTAGATGTCGCCTACTTATATGAAGCTATTTTAGGCATGACAGTTTCCGGAGGTTGATCAATTTCATCCTCACTAACCCCTCTTTTGACAGCATCATTTGTTTCCCCTCCTCGTTCAAGCGCTACTTCTCGAAAGAATGTATCCTCTCAGTTGTCTGGAAGTTTGAAGCAAACTGGTGGATCAAAATTGCCATTTACAGTTTCTTTCATTGAGACTGCAGAGGCCCCACTTGTTTCTCTTGCCAAGCTCTCAACAGCAGCAAACTCGTCTTGTAATTCTGCTAATGGGTCAACGTCAGAGTTGCTACACTCGACTGCATTCGTGTTGCCTTCTGCATCTAACATTCCTGCTTTAATAAAGCATTTAACAACTGTACTTTCTGAAACATCATTCCAGGCCATGGAGGTACACCTTATTGCCTGGAGAACAACAACAGACTTGCACACATCTGAAGCATTTGAGCATCTGAAGTATTTGAGCTTGAGTGCCTGAATTATGCCAAGGTCAAGTGGCTGTAGACGAGATGTCGTGTTTTTTGGGAAAAAGACGATTTTTATCTTGTAAAACTTATCATCTATGTCTTTGGGGTGGCATGGGGCATTGTCCATGAACAGGATTATGCTTCTATCCCCATGGCTTAGTCTTCTGCTAAGTTTCGATATAATTTCCATCAGGATATCACTGTTCATCTACGCTTTTGGCTGGTTGTAGTACTCACATGGTAATAGCGATCTGTCCTGGATACCTCTGAAATGTCTTGGATTTGCTGATTTGCCACTGATGATAGGCTTCTCTTTCCCACCACTGGCATTAATGAAGAATGCGCACATCAGCCTGTCTTTTGATTTCTTACCGCCCGTGAAACTCTGAGAAGCCTCTGTCGGGGATCTGTTTGGGAGCGCTCTGAAAAACTGGCCTGTTTCATCCATGTTCCAAATGTCGCGAGGGTGCCATCCTTGCAAAATTACAGGAAGTCTTTCTATCCATGAGTCCACCATTACTTCTCTGACATCTGATTCTCCAGAAATAAACTTTGCTTTTATGCCAGTTCTCCTTTTAAAGCGATCTAGCCACCCGTTTGAAGCCTTGAATTGCTCGCTGGAAACTTCTTAAGCCTCTGCAATTCTTGTAGCTTTTTCTTGCAACATGGGCCCGGTAACTGGAATGTCCTTGGACCTTGCCTTTCGAAACCAGTCAAGCAAAGCTTCCTCAATCTCTTTGTGTTGAGGTCCTCTTACTCGTTTGATAATGCCGTTGAGATTAGACTCGTAGTCCTTTAAAATCTCATTTTCAACAAGATAGCTTGAGTCTGGGTCTTCCCACATTTAAATTGGTCTGCAAGCTTCCTTGCGCTGACGAGGATTATTTTCTTTAAACCTAACAACTTCACAACGTGTTTTTAAGTCAAGCTCCTGTCGTTTCCGCTTCGAGCCACTGGACATAATGCAGGAATAATGAAGCTTGAAGAATTCTTTGACTCATGAAATTGTGCTTGAAGCCCTTAGATGCAAACATGCGTTAATATTGGTTTGAAACCTCTGGCTTGTGTCCCTTAAAATTTTGCTTGTTTGCCAGGCGCATTAGAATTGGCACATGCCACCAATGGATGTTGAATGACAGACCTCCAATCAGTCTCGACCAATAATTTGCATTTTTAAGAGAACGGATAGTATTTCGGTGTTTCCCATGTCTGCAACTGTTGTCGAATTACAGCACATGCAATAATTACCATATGTTTGATTAGTCAGTTTGATTTTCCACATAAGTCATGGCGGGTCCTTCTGCAAATACATCCAGCTTAAATGAAACCGAAATTCCTTCCTGGATAAGGGGATACCATATTTATCAAGATATTTGGGAGATTGAAATTGGAGAGGCTCCTGATTTAATACATGAACCAAAAAATGAACATGACAAGAGTGCTATAGCCGTGATAAAGGATAACAACGTAGCTGGTCATGTACCATGGGCACTGGCTTTAGCTGACAATTAACATTAATTCTAACTCTTCCCTCTCTCTCACATTGGTTTTTGCACAATAATTGATTGCAAAATAAATTATGTGGTATCAGATTTGTTTTTATAAAGATTGATGTGCAGCCTAAATACCATTTTTCAGCCTAAATCTGAATTTTCCAAAACAATTTGTTTGTTTGTGAAACATGGAGTGAACATTTGAGATCTTCTCTATGTGCACTTTGGCTTTAATCTTTGCAAATCCCCTGAATTTGGACATTTCTACTGTAAATTTCACAATTTCAATGAGTGAAAGTTGCACTAAACCCCCTTGATTCCTTAAGAAAAAGTTTTTTAGTGGAAAAAAGACAAGATTTACATGCACCATTGCAGAAAACAAACAAGCAGACTCTCACAACTTCAAAACACACAACTGAATTCAATTACAATTTGACTTTACGGTGATATTTAAAACTGAACAGAGGTGAATATTTGAAGGTTAAGCATTGTTGGAAATGAACAATACTTTCTGTAGATCTCTGAGTGTTTTTTTTTAAGAGAAGATTGTTACTGAGGCTGTTTAAATTGTGGGTGTTTGCAATACCAGTACTGTTCTTTATTCAAGAGTGTACATGCTATTTTTTCCTCTCCAATTGACAGGTGTCAGATCATGACCGACACTTGTTAAAAGAATGTTTCAGAGTTTGCTAGGAAGCCTTTTATGTTACCTTTACCATTAGGTAAATAAAATGAAGCCTCTCTCTTCAATTTAAATAACCTCAGAATTATTTTGGCAATTCTGGGAGCCAAAAGATGTTTATTGCGGTACTTCACAAAGTCTGCATACCATGATACCTGAAATAAACTTTATGATTGATTGACAGGTTAGGTATTACAGCTTCAAATCAGCAAGATCCAGAGGATGAAGTCAATGAATTTCTGGGAAGCTCTATTGATGCCCGCAGCATTGACAAGTAATTTTTATGTTTCATAACTTTGTGTAGAGATTACTGTATTTTTGAACTACTTTGAATGGTTCAATTTTTACTTTGTTTTAGGTTGCGCAAAGACTATGTGCGGCCAGTACTTCTCACATTTAAAGATCCAGACAAGGAAGAGCTTGTAAGTAAAAAAAGATAACATTTACATTTAAAGGTGTTTGTTGCCTCTTCACTCAGAAAATAAATTTCCTTCAATCTTTCCAAAACATCCTAGTCAAAAAATAATTGCAGCTGCCAATTACTGGGTGATAAGAATTTGAACCTATGTGATAAATAAAGTATGACTTGTGACTTTTGTCATGAAAGTGAAGAAGTAAAACACATTGGGAAGGTTCAATTGAGGCTATTACTTGTACCTTTCCTTAGCAGACATATTTGAATGGTTGTGTGCTTGAGACTCCCTGTGGTGACTTATAGGCTGCATCCCAAATATTTAATTCGTTTGGTGTAAAAATAATTCCTAAATTGTGATCAGAGATCAAGTAGCTGTCCAAGGAGACCCATTAACAAAGAAGAGTTTTAAATGTTATAAGACTGGTGAATGAGAACAAAGTTAAGCTTAAAATAGATGCACAGTTAAGTTTTAACTATACAACAGTGGATGCATCTCTCCAATTCCCTGAAATTTCCCTTGTGCTGCTCTCTGTAGCAACAAAGACAATGTTTCTTGATATTATTGCTTTCTTTGAAAGTTTTTTGTGTCTACTTGAAAGTGGTATGTTGCCTCTTGGGGGTCCTTTGTTGTAGAGTAAGTAACAAGGGCAAGTGTGAAGCATGCTGTGTATGACTTCCTGGAAGAAGCTTTTGGTTTAATGAGTTGATGTGAATGTTTCTAATTTTACTGACTTGTAATGAAATTTGATACCATAATGTGGGAGAAAACCTTAAATTTGTGTTACCAAATTGTGAATCAAATTGGAAGAATAATCATTCATATGAAACTACAGGTTGCTTATTCATGAGAAAACATGAATGAAGCTTCTTACACTTTTGAAATGGACAGCAAAGTAAGAGGATATCACATTCATGTCAGCAGCCAAAAACCATCAACCAGCTATTTCTTATCAACTAGTTCAGAAATGTTAAATAAAGACAACAAGTTTGATAAGAAGAACTTGGCTTTGAAGTAGAACTGTGGCTTATTTTTATTGAGAGCAGTGGTGAAATTTCTTGCAAACTGACTGGGAAAAGATTATTTGTAGATGTGGACTTGGTATTTTGATGTATTTGTTGTTATGATCTCTGACTTGATGCAAAAGTGATATTTGTTAATAAGAAGTACAACAATTGAAGGGTAAAACTCTGAGCTATTGTGCATATTAATGAGGGTTACTTAAATCACATTTGTTTGAAAAATAAAACTGAGGTCTATCTGTGGGTAAATACTTACAAAAATTCAAAGATGGACCTTTAGTTCACGTGATCATGCTTGCAACATAAAATGTGCATATTAATGTTAGCAAGGAAACAAAAATGGATAGGCAGTATGGTGTTTGTAGGACTGATTAAGTGGATTCAAAAAGGTATTTCCAACAGTAGTTGTGAACATGAAACTGCTCAAATTAGTGTAGAATACTAAATACTACTAGTCTAAGAGTACTAATACTAAAAATTATATTCAAGTTGTCATGCAAATCTTTGTGCAAAGGTGTATTCCCTTCATTACTGTTAACTACAAGTAGTTGAAATTGCTTTCATTTTTAAGCAAGTTAATAAAACTAAACTAATAAGGTAATTAAAAATAGATGATAAAGCTTTTCTGGTTGACCTTGTTTCAGTGACTTATTTACTCCTGATCTTTTTTAACCCATTAATAGCCGCAGCTTTTGTGAAAAACTGTGTTTTGAAGCTAGTCGAGCAGATTTTGGGCCACTGTTGTGGTTTTAAAAGCTCAAACTTACCACAAACCCATTCACAGCTTGTACACTCGATGGCCTTTCGTTCCAAATGCAAAATGGCGGCCTGAAAATCTCAGGCAGGTGCAGAAAGCAAAATTTCGAGACTTACTTTTCTCTCTATCTCCTGCCCTTTTTTTTCCCTTTCCTTGCCTGAATTTTCTCCTCACTTGCTGGAAATTTATTAGGCTTCATTTTGGTGTAGAGATTTTTTAGGAAACTGGTCATTATTTTCAAACCACATGCTCAGAAAAGTAGGTGGGTAATGGAACAAGATTTTTATGAAGATTTTCTGGTCAAAGTTACATGGTTTTTTGGCTATTTCTCCACTGTCCTTCACTCAATTGCGCTCATTCTGGTATCGTTTGTAAGATATTTTCAACCTGTTTAAGTACGTGCTCAAAGTCGTGCCCCAGGGTTAAAAGTGTTGACCTCACAAGGCATAGAAAGGGTGTGGTTCCACATAGGCGTTTACGGGTGCACTGGACATCAATAGGTGAAATTGTTATTTTCTCTTATTGCAGTATTCTCAAGAAAAGGATAGAATGTTCAAGTCTTACACTGCATGCATTCTTCTCCTCTTTGTCCTCATAGTTATGGTTCAGATTACAACCCTGCCAAGGTATGTATTCAAATCGATTAAACTAATAAAGTTTGGATAGGTTACCTACATCTAATGTTACCACACATCTTAAAAGTTTGTAATTATTTTGTAAGAATGAAACGCTAATGTACGATTTGCACTACATTTGTTTGGAAGCTGAGTTATCTATTTAGAGGGCCTATTAGGAGTATAAGATGAAAGCTCTCTTCCATTGCCTTTTTTCATTCTAGATTGTAATCTCCTTCCTTGTCATTTTTTAAGAGTAGGTAGTGAATGTCACATAGTACAATTACATTTCTGCCTGGATACTGCTTGTCTGAGTATTGCTTTAATGTCTGAAAACATAAGAGGTCCATTTTGTACATAGATATCAAAACATATGAATTGATGCAAGTTTGTTTTTATTTTTTTGTCTGTTTTTTTTTTTCTCACAGCTTTCAACCCTTTTTTATTAAGTGTTGTAATGCACGAATTAAGATATGATTACCTAACTTCTAGTCTTTAAGTGAGACACAGGAAAGACTATAGGACCTTGTGAGCTGATGGAGAACTCTTTTTATTAGTCCATAAAGGGGGTAAATGAATGCATTCAACTTCTGGTTTGCCTGCAAAAAATATATATTTCTGAAACCATCAAGAATTAGACTTTCCCGCTCTACGAACACAAGTTTGTCTATTTGTAGTCTGGATGATCTCAACATACTCTTGACCTTCACCTACCTGACACTGTCCTTGACAACAGTTGCTATCCACCATCTTTGTGCCCCTCAAGTGTAAACAATATCAGAGAAATGTGAAGTATGGTTCATTGTATAGTTGTTGGATGTGGTTCCAAAAGTGGAAAACATTAAGTAAGTTTCCATTCCATCCCCAATATTGTCACAGACCAAGGACAAAAGCATGAAGAACATACAAGAGAAAGAAGAACTTGCTGGATTGCAGTGATCAGTCAAGATGACACAAAAACAAAGAGAGTCCTCGATAGTGAATGAGTCTGTGGTTGTCACTTTGTTTCAGGAAAAGCTGCAAAACATTGGGAACCAACTCTTAACTTTGGAAAGAAACAATTCAAGAAGTGTAAAGAGAGTGATGCTGAAGCAGCAAAAGCTAGAGATGAAAGGGTTGAGGAATGGAAGAAATAGCTAGTAGAGCAACAAGAAATCGAAGCTGCCAAGAAAAGAAGGAGTTGAATCAAAGTGGACTTCCTATCCTGGAGATTGATTTTTCCGAAGACATTGCCTCAACTACTGGTTCTTCTAGCTTAGATACCAATCTTAACAAGCCTTCTTGAAGTACAAGCTGTGATGGCAGTGAAGAAACTAATGAGATCATTCAGGCAGAAAATTAAATGTCAACAGATGACCTTGAGGTACTATGTGAAGGAACAGAAAACACTGAAACACAGACAGAAGAAGTAGATTGTCTGTTTGCAAGCTCTGTTTATCGAGCCCCTAACGCAGATTTTTTTAATTCTTCAGAGGAAGTTTGATTTTACACCGGTCTGCCATCCTTTAAAGTCCTTATGGTAGTTATTGAGCTTGTAGCTCCACATGTGTCATGATGACTTGGTTCTACAACCTTAAATAGATTTCAAGAATCTGTCTTTGTTCTGATGAAAGTCTGTCTGAATGTTCCATTCCAAGGTCTAGTGCACTGATTTGTGGTGTCCCTTTCAAGTGTGTCAAGGATATTCATGTCATGGATTATTGCTATGGACCTCAGGCTCTTGTTTTATTCATTGGCGTAATGGAGAACAGTTATGGAAAACAGTTATGGAAAACCATGCCAATTTGTGTTTCCGATACACATTTGGTTGAAAGGTGACCATGATCATTGATTGCTTTGAAGTGTTCATCGACAGGCCAAAAAATCTGCTGGCCAGAGCCCAAACTTTCTCTTCATACAACCACCATGACACTGTGAAAGTTGTTATTGGTATTACCCCACAAGGTACTGTGTCTTTTGTGTCAGAGGCTTGGGGCGGATGTACCTCTGACAAATTTCTTACAGAGAACTGTGGAATTTTTGATAAATTATTACCAGGAGACATAGTTATGGCAGATAGAGGCCTCGCTATCTCTAAAAGTGTGGGACTAGGACACTGCAAACCTGTAATTCCTGCCTTTACAAAGAGAAAGGCTCAACTGGATCCAGTTGATGTGGAACAATCATGAGGAATTGCCAGTATGAGGGCTCACATTGAAAGAGTTATAGGACTCCTGATACACAAGTATATTATACTAGAAGGTACACTCTCAACAAAGTACTTAAGCTGTGATGTAAGTGGGCCCCCAGAGTCCCAAGTGCCCATCACTAACCAAATTTTGAGAGTTTGCTCAGCCCTTATCAATTTTTGCCCATAAGTAGTACCATTTGATTACTAGCTTTTGTTGAAAAACAAAGGCTAGCTCAATTTGAAAAATCTTCTCTATTACAGTGATAGTTCAATTCCTGGATATACTTTACCTGTTATGTTCAAAGCAACCAGAGTGAGGCTACATTCTAAAATCCTTGTTATTAATGACTAAGTTTAATATATGAAGCCTTGTCTTGATTCCTTTGAATAGAGAGAGTGAAGCACAACATGGAGGTCAGCTATTATGTTCAAGTGTGCATAATTAATACTGTGATAGTTTCCTGTCTGTGATAGTGTTTCAGGGCAGATTTTGAAACGAGTATGCAGAACACATGCCATGTCATGTAATAGGTGTAGTTTTTAAAATTTTTCACATTTTGAGATAAATTGATCACATGGATGCTGCTGTGATTGACAGCCATCTCACAGCACATTTTTTTAAAATTGTTGGGAAGGGTGTCATGATAATATGATTTTTTTACTCTTAGTCTTTAAGAGATGTGCTTGTATTTCAGCTTCCAAGAATAAGTTCTAATAAAGATTGTGCCCAAGGGTGATTTTTGTAGTAGTGAAAAATGAGCAACAGAACATTACTCCTAGGTTCCAGTGGATGGATAGTTGCTATGTATGATCCCCTTATGCAACTTTTTTATTCCAAAAATATGTACAAGAACAAGAAGACATCTGATAGGTTTTAGTCTGTGCACATGTCCAATACTCTGGCAAATTTATGGTCAGGAAATGCATTTTGTTGTATTGTGTCATTTGAAATGTCTTGTTTAACTACTGTTCTGGCCAAATATAACACTGTTACAATAAACTGCATTGCATAAATTTGTTAGATTATTTGACAACCCTCAGCCTGCCTAGATGCTCACCAAGGATTTGGAACTAAGGAAAGGAGAGGCTCTCCTGCCCCTTTCCCCTCTCTGAAGAGCCTGAAGGCAGGGTAATTGTTTTTGAATGAGTTTAATGACTAAAGACAGGAATGTGCTCATTCTACCACGTTGTAGACAAGCCAACAAATGTGAGCACATTCTTGGAACATCATAAGTAATAAAACATTGCCACTGCTTTGCGGCTGTACAGGTACAAAGTCAAGACTAATTAATCCTCCACCAAGGTCATTCGTCTGCCCCTTGATCTCCTGATTTATAGCATCATGATACAAATAATCATACAGATTGACCATGCCAGGTTGGCATCCTACTGAGCTCACACAAACCCAGTGATCACTTCCTGTGTGTAAAATTTGAATAAATTCACTTGATACCACATCAAAGTTTCTTATGCTACCTAGAATTGGAAGTTGCAAACTTTCGTTTAATGGATTCACTTGCTAAATGAGAACTTGCGTGCATTGAATTATGTCGCCAGTTAGCCATCCAGAGGGGTCACTAATAATAACGTAATCTGAATTGCCTAACTTTGCTAGGGGACCAAACTTGTCAACAGAACCAGTTGAAACTTTTGTTATTTCAATGTCATCCTCACTTTCACTGTCACTTGATAAGTTTGTAGCTAAAGGTGACCAAGGTAATACTGAAGAAGTAAAAGTGGTAAGTTGAGCAGAGGTTCTTTTAGTGTTTTTTCCTCTGCATGCAACACCTTGCCATTTTGTCTTTGAATTGTTTGGCATTCTTTCTAGTGCTAAGCAACTTAGGTGGAAAAAGTGACCACTGTCACAGTCTGCATTGTGGCACTCAATAATTCTGTCTGTAATGGCTGCTTTACCATTACAAATGCAGATACTTTTACTTTGCATGGCTGCTTTATTTACAAGGGATGGTGATCCCTTGCCCTTTGAAGCCCATCTACCTCTCTTGAACTGAGGTAGCTTGCAACAATGGAGACAATACCATTGTTTAGGAATTACAACACTACCTAAAGCCAAACATGTGCTGTGAAACTGCTTGTATGGACAGGCAGCATTACTACAGGTAACCACTTTGTCACTAAGCTTTCCTTTACAGAAACAAATGGCATTGCTATCTGTTGTGATATTTTCTACCACATCGCACCTTCTTGTGAACCATCTGCCAGTTACCTCTGGCAGAATGCAGGTTTTCCATGAAACCTCAAGCTTTTTTGTAACATTCTTTGAAAGTAATGGGTCAGGGTAGATTCTGTCACATACTATGTGTGAATTCCCTTCTGAATCTATTGCATAAACAGCAAAGTCACAGTATTTTGTCTCTTACAGAGTAAACAACTGTTGCTGGACTTGTTAAAAATAGTTATGGGTTCTTTTTAACTTTAATGTTTCATTTACACTTTCAAGGTAAGATGTTGCTTTCTTACTGTACTCTCCAAAGTCACCATTTGTGATAGATATTGGGCATTTAACCTCTCCATAGCCCAGTCCACAACATTCACATGAAACAAGGAAGTCTGGTGTAGCATGAACGTACTGTTCATATGATTGTTTTAATGGCATTTTCCTTGTGTTTCCATCCATGTTCTACTGCTTCATTATTTAGTTTGAACAAGTGTGGATAACATATAATTACATGGTATGAATAAAGGATAGAGAAGGTTGGTACTACTTTAGTATGGTAGACAGCACCACAAACAGAAGCACCGATTCTACCCGTTGGATGTCTAAAAAGTGCTGGTCCCTTCACTTGAGTTTTTGTGTCCCGCTCGACCATTTGAATTTCTTTCTCTGAGATGTTTATCTCAACTTCTAAGCACTTCTGTAAAAGCTCAGGATACTTTAGATCCAGATTGTTTGGCTGGTAAAGATCTGTTAATACTGATATTTTGCAACTTTTTTAAATAATCTGATTGGCATATGGATCAATTAAACTCAGCAATGCAGCCTTTTCTTTACCCTGATTCAGCCTCCACTGAAACGGCAGGGTTCGTTATGGGTACTCCTCTACCAACAGTTTGGGCTTTATTGGAGTTTCCACCTTCACCACTGAAGTACTCAATCTTGCTGTCAAGATTTTCTTTCAACTTTTTCACCAACTGAAGGTGAAATCAATACCCCTACTTCTTGCTTACGTAACCTTGCTGACATAAGTAGAAAGGAGCCATGAACACTTAACTTGCATACAGGCTAATTTTTAACATAACATAATATAACATACTTTATTTAATGTGGTTAACACTTAGCTATATAAAGCTACTTTACAGGTCAGTCACGAAAAGAAAAGATAAATGAATAAACTTAGAAGCCATGTAAAAGTGTTTAAAAATTATTTAGTATTATGGAAACGGCCTAAATTTATAGAACTATTAACTTATAAAACAAGAATAAATTGGGATAAGAGATTGCTTTGCCTTTAAAGTGTTTAAAATGGTATAGTATATACAAACTACAATTATAAAACTATAATGCTTATATACTAAGAAAGCTAAGTTAAAATAAAAAATAGGGAGCTATAGACCTTCAAGGTTGAGCTCCTTGAGTTCACGTTTAAAACTGCGATAGGTATCCATATTTCTCAAATTATTAGGAATAGTGTTCCATAGTCGGGCAGCTTGATATTTCCACGACTTAATCCCATACTTTGTTGAATTAACTTTAGGTAATTTGAAAATAGCATCACCACGTAAATTAGAATTGGAATTGGGTGTAGTCAATAACTTGGAAATACTTGTAGGTATGTTTCTATTGTTAATTGCTTGAAATGATGTACTTAACATTTTTGGAAGTCTTTGGTTAGCTAATGTGTTATTTCCATTCTTAACAACTAATGTCTCATAAGAAGAACTTTTATCCTGATAAACGAAGCAGAGCGCCCGGTTGTTTAGTTGTTCGAGTTTTTTCGTTAAGCGATTACCACAAAAATGCCAAGACTCGGCACAATAATTGAAATGAGGAGCTATGAATGCTCTACAAAGATTCTCCTTCAGCTTTAAAGGAAGCAGATTCTTCATCCTTTTCAGAACAGCAATCTGCTGGCTTACTTTGCGACATATGTTCTTAATTTGACCTTCAAATTTCAGTTTATTATTGACTGTAACACCCAGAAGCTTCATCTCCTCTACCAGAGGAATGGTTGTACCTTCAAACTTAAAATTAGGGTCTCGTGATGTTTTTCCCATTACCATAGCTCTATACTTCTCGTGATTCCTCCTCATTTCATTTTCCTCATACCATTTTTCAATTTTACCTAAGTCTGAATTTATGACTTGTTCTACATCTGTCACATTGTTGCCAGCATAAAAGATCTGTGTATCATCTGCATAAGTGGACAGTGTAGTAAAATCAATGATGTGTGGAAGATCATTCATAAATATATTGAACAACAGAGGCCCCGGGATCGATCCCTGTGGAATTCCTCTTTGGACGGGTAGCCAAGGAGAAAACGTACCTGCAAGGTTTACCCGTTGCTTGTGACCAGTCAAGTAGTCTTTAATTAGACTAACTGTGTTATCGTCTGCACCATATTTCGCCAACTTGTGGACAATTAGCATAAGTCCATAGACACCAGCCCAACAATTCCTATGGTTATCCAGTTCTTTCCTCCACTGCTCCCTTAAACTGAGGAGAGCAGTATCACATTAATTTTGTGTCCAACACTCAATGTAAAATGGAGTACTGGCGATGTAAGAACATGACTCAGCCAAACCCGCCTTGCAGCTTAAACAGTGTGCAGAAAAAATTCTTCCATTTTGTCCAGGTAGGATCCATAGGTCCACAAGAGGGTCATTCATTCGTCGAGAGTGATGAACTTTGGTGCAAACTACATGTTTCTCCAAGATTAATTTTCCCTTCACTGAAGCAACAAACCTGGACACCACTTGATTGTATGCTTCAAAACTCTTGTAATTTTTGAATTGATCATTTGTATAGTAAATGGTTTCCAGAACCAAGAAACTAAACAAGTCTGACTGCTCTAACGGAGGTAAACACTATGGATCAAGCTCCACATCTGGGATGTTCACTAAATCAATGCCAATTTTCTCTATCTTCTGGAGATAACGTTGCCTTACAGGACTCTTAAGAGACCTAGCATATTTTGATAGTTCAGTTACAGACATTTATGGTTATTGAGAAGCAAATTTCAACTCTGGAAATGAAAACACTTTAGAAGTGGCTTCGCTTTACATATATTTCACACTCCAGAGGGGCACAGTTATGGTGGACAAGATATTTGCATATGTCAGTGACATCACATGAAAGACAAGAATAGAAATCCTTATTGTTTTTTTTTTTTTATTATTATATATATCGTGGGTAGATTATATAATTCTAACTGAAATTGTATTTGTCTGTCCTCAGAACATATGTGACCATGGCTGTTTTCATAAGTACATTTCTTGTTGTTGGTGCCCTTTTCCTATTGGTTATTGCTGAGAAGTGCCAGGTATGCCAAATTCATTTTCAGCTTAAAATATTTCAATCTATAAAAATGTTTGATTTCTGGATCTTGTTTCTAAATAACTTTCTAAACAACTTTCCCTTTGATTCACCAGAATACACCAAATGGTTTGAGGAGTATTTCAACCAAACTTGCACAATCTCAAACCAGTTGCAGAGTAGTAGCAACTGTATTGGTGCTGACTTTGTATATTGCAGCCATTGGAAATTTTGTAAGTGCTTGAGCCTATATTTGTAATGTTTACTAAAGTAAGGGACCTCATATCATCATGACAATCCCTTATATGTTGTAGCTTAAGTGCAATAGGCCATTTTACAGTTGTGTACTTAGTTGCCAAGCCTTTGATTCAGAGTGAGGCTGAAGGTGACCTTGTTGTGATAGAGACCTGTATCTAGTTAGCATGATAACAAAGTGATTTACATTTGAAAGGCAGCAAGGTTTGTATCATAACAAAGTCAACCCTAGCCTCACTCCCATTCAAAGGCTTGGCAACCAAGCACACAACTGTAAAATGTACTATTGTCATTAGCTAATGTTCTATACAATGGACTGCTCCATATAATGCCATTTGTAATGTGTTCTTTGATTGAAGCACTCTTTGTTGGCATTTATACTCAGAGCTAACATGTATTATGAAATTGGTGTGGTTAGATAGACACCTAACTTTGAAGACTTAACAGCAGTGGTAGGTTTTGCATGGTTTCATCACAGCAACAGATAAGATGAAATGAATTATCACATGACCTGCGCGGCCCCATTCATGCATTTTTTTAGAAAACCATTGTAAAAGCTAATTTGGTAATATCAACTAAGTTGAAATTGTAAATTGGCCACGATAAAGAGTTAAAAAACTGATGTTTCGAGCGTTAGCCCTTTGTCAGAGCGAATGGAGGAATTGTGGGTTGTGTGTGGGTTTATAAGCAGAAAGTGGAGCTACACTATTGGTGGGAATACGGTGGCGAGAAAAACACAAATAAATTAGTAGCATGAAAACCGTTCATTGATACCTGTGGGATTAAGAGTGCCGATTTGAAAGATAAACTTTTGTTCAAGAGTTTTGCGGCTTTCGGAGCTACCTAAATGTAAGGAAAGACAGCAGATTGCCATATGTTGCTTAGAATGATTATGTAGATTAAAGTGTCTAGTGACTGGTTTTGATGCGTCCTTGTCATTCCTTTCTATGTCGTGAAAGTGTTCTTGGAATCGATCACTTAGTCGTCTTCCTGTTTCACTGATGTATATCTTTTTGCAATAAGTGCAAGTTATGCAATAGGTGACGTTGGGTGAGATGCACGTGAACTGATCAGTGATCTTAATGGATCATTTGGGTCCTGATATTTTTTCAGCGTTGTGAATGAAAGGACAAGTTTTGCATCGTGCGTGAGTGCATTTAAAAGTACTGGGTTGGTCATTAGTTTGTAATGAACCTCTAACCATAAAAATGCCTATGTTTTTTTGCGTTTGAATGAAATGAGTGGAGGTTGAGGAAAGATAATGCCAGTCTCTGGATCGTTTTGAAGTAATTTAAAGTTTTTAAGAATAATGGATTTAACTGAGTGGTTGTGAGGGTGAAGTGTGAGAGTAAATGGAATGCGGTCGGAATTTTCTTTCTGTGACATTTGTAGTGCTGACTGTTGATCAACAAGTTGGGCGCAGTGGTGACCCGCTTGAACGACAGAAACAGGGTAACCACATTTTTTGAAAAACTGGCAGAGACTTTGGTTTGTGAAAGAATTAAGAATCATCACTACATAAATGGCAAAGTCTTAGAAACTAGAAAAGGGAATGGAATTCTTCACATGAGATGGGTGCAGGTATCAACGAATGGTTTTCATTCTACTAATTTATTCGTGATTTTCTCGTCGCTGTGCTCCCACCAATAGCATAGCTCCACTTTCTGCATATACACAACCCACAACACGCAACACACAACACACAACCCACAATTCCTCCATCCGCTCTGATGAAGGGCTAACCCTCAATATGTCAGCTTTTTAACTCTTTACAGTGGTCAATTTACAATTTCAACTTAGTTGAAATTACCTTGTTACCAAATTACCTTGTTACCCCCACTGAAGCAGCACCACAGTTGATGTGAGGTGGTCCAGAAAAAATCTGTCTGGCTCTTCTGCCCTTACTTTTGCTTTGATTCAAAGGAAAACAGAAATGAGAGAAAAAAAAGTCGCATTTTCCAAGGAATTGGGAGTTTCTTGTTCTGACTAGCAAAAATAAAGGAAAAGTTATAATTCCAGAATTCTTTTTTAGAGCTTGCATGGCTGTGTGTGCCCTTCTACTATGTCCTATTTAGGTTGAAATTTTCAACATTTATAAATTATGTATTGATTGAGCTTGGTTGGGGCAGTTGGAAGAATATTTGGCTCTCAGTCAAGAGGCTCAGACCTGGCTGTGCTTGGTCCAGAGGTCATGACCTCAAGCCAAATATTTTCCCTTCAGCCCTCCCACTCAGTAAGTGCATATTCTAATGTCTGTGATGTTCTTCTTCAGTTTGGCTGTGACTTGGAGAGAAAACTGAATGCAGAAACACTTAATTGTAGTGAATCTCATTCATCTTACGTTTGGCTTCATCCTGATACAGCATTCTGTGACTACCCTCAGGTAAGAAAGACAAAATAGCTCACATCGCCAAGTATGATGTCTAAGATAAGCTATTTTAAAACCTCAATTCTTAAAAAAACGTTTAATTGCCCACGAAGTATTATTTTCATAGGACTGTAAAAGTGTTGAAGTGAAAATTGATATTGAAATTGAGAGAAAGTTTTCTTTTAACTTGGAATAACCTTCGAGAGGTTAAAATTTTTTTAATTTTGTCAAATTGTGTGTCAAAGGAACTTCTTAATTGAAGATGAATATTAAATATAAGTATAATACATCCATAATGCATCAGGGGGTAGTATGATATGATCAGTGAATTGTGTTCTCTCTCAATTCTCTTAATTTTTTTTTTGTTTTGTTTATTGTTTTTTTTTTTTTTCAGTACTTCACTTTCAGTGTGATGCTAGTGATGATAGGCTGTGCTGTTTTCCTGCAGCTTAGTACAGTGCACAAGTTTTCAATGTTGGCAGCCATGTCTACTATCTTTATAGTCTTGATTAGAGTTGTCTTTATGCATCTTTTCAACAATCATGATATGATCCATTATTGTTGGTGAGTACAACATGAAGTTCCTTAGTTAATTAATGTTGATTGCGGCATCTGAGAGACACTATGGTTTTCTCTGTGGATTGTTTTGCGTCCCAAACGATCAATTAAGATTACTGATCACTTCACATGCACCTCCACCAATGTCATCTATTGCATAACTTGAACTTATTGCAAAAAGATATACATCAGTGAAACAGGAAGATGACTAGGTGACCAATTCGGAGAACACCTTCCCTGAAAGACAGAAAGGAATGACACCATGCTGCATAGGGTTGCCAAATTCCCACAACTTCAATCTCAAAATATCTAAACAAATAATGGCATATTTTTGCCCTCAGTTTTTCTATTAAAAGTGTTTTTTAATGGTCAGTGAGACATATTGCTGATACACTGTAGCATTCCCCAAATTTTAGGATGTTTCACTTGATGACAGCAGATTTGTATTTAAATGCACTTCTGTTGTGAGAATGGAAAAGTTAAAAGCAGGCATGATCCTTCAGACTGCCATATTTCAGACTTCAAGTTGGTATCTCTGTCATACCATAACACAGAACTCTGACATAAGCTGCATGTAGGGACACCACACAACTTAAGGCCATCTCACCATGTTCCAGCAAAGAGTTTCCCCCCACTACTGTTCTGTCTTTTAATTTTAGGTTGTTACCAGATGGATATATCAAATGGATTGATCTCTCCATAGTTATTGTTGTGATGTTGACAATAGCTTTAACTGCACATGGATACTTGGTGAGGAAACAATAAGTTGAATTTCTTTTCTTGTTTTTTTCTCCTTTTTTCATGCTTCTGCCCCCTTTTTTTAGCTTAGATTAATAGTACCATTTGAGGTTAATTACAATAATTTTTTGTTGGTTTGCTTGTTTCTTTTTTTTTTTTACCAACAGCATGAAGAAATATCTAGACTGGACTTTTTATGGAAACTTCAGGTGAATTACAGGTTTTATGGTATTCATGATAATTATGAACCTAATGACTAAAGTCATCTAAAAATCACTTTCATATTGACGCATTCTACAGCCTACATTTGTAATGATTCAAATTAATTTTTTTGTTTGAATTGTTCAAAAAAACATGTTTTGTATTTCCAGGCCACAGAGGAAAGGGAAGAAATGGAAAAACTGAGAGAGTACAATAAGAAATTGCTGTATAATATCCTCCCTGACCATGTTGCACAACATTTCCTTGCACAGCAAGCCAAAAAAAATGATGTAAGTTTTTTCTTGAATTCTGAATTTTTTTTCCTATTATCAGGAATACCAAATGTAACATATAATTTTTTTTTATTGTCTTATGATCATGGACAATAAATAATGAACTTGTTAGAGTATTTTATGTTTTCTGTAACTTGTGTATTTTTTGGCAACCAAAATTTTTTCTTTGGTGACCCTCAATTGTAAAATGGTCTTAAAACAAAAACCAAAACAAGAAATAACTCACTTTGATAGGAGAAAAATAACATGTTGCACTATATCAGGTATTTGATTAGCCACACAAAACGATCACAACACTTTGATTCATTACTCCCTTACCAATTAATAATGGTCAAGATAGAGTGAATAAGATACTCAGATGTCTGGAAGCAAAAGCAATTTACTTAAAGTAAGAAATCATGTTTAATACAATTTTGGTTTATTGCTCAGCTGAGAAACATCTCTTGTTTGAAGTGACCTGAAATATTGTAAATAACATCATGAATCACTTGGTGTTTAGTCATCCTACTTCTGACTGCAAAGCTGATGGTTAGACTTGAAAATGAAGTTTATCTTGACAAAATCAGTTTAACTTGATCAACTTGAGAGATAAAGAGAAAGACAGGGGATACCAGCATGTGCTTGATGTTTTTCTCTTCCTTTTTTTATACATCTGTTGGTCACCAATTGATGACTTTTGTCGAATGTTTAGTTGACCAAAATATTTGCGGCTTGGAGCACTGAGACTGAAATAGTTGCTGCTCGGAGCACTGAAGATATTTCAGTGGCTTACTTGTAATTCTCTTTATCTTGGTTGAAACCAGCTTCAAAAAATATATATATAATTTTAAAGAAATAAACTCGATTAAAATTTTAATTAAACCAAGGTAAAATTTGAACCACATCATCAACAGAACAATGTGAATAAAAATAGACCTTGAATTGCAGGAAAATGCAACTGCAAGAGTTACATACTTCAAAATTATCATTTGGAGCCATGAAATTGCAAGGAACAAGAGGCTCTTCAGGCTTTTCAAACAACCAATTTGTGCCATATTTGATTGAAACCAATGCTTTCCTGTACAGTATATGTTATGTGTTCTTTGTACCAGCCACCAGTTATACCAGTTTGTACCAGTAAGCATCTCGCTACTATTCTAAATCAAATTAACATTTTGTTTCTGGTTGATTTCAGGAACTTTATTACCAGTCTTGTGATAAGGTCATCGTCATGTTTTCTAGTATCTGTAATTTTTCTGACTTCTACACTGAGCTGGATGCCAATGGCGAAGGAGTTGAGTGTTTACGTCTTCTTAATGAGATACTGGTGGATTTTGATGAGGTGAGTCTTTGATGTCAAGAAATTGACAGTTGTGCTGATTTACCAGGTTCTGGTTTCAAAGCTCCATCTAACTCTCAGTAAATTCTCACCCTGGCAGGCATGGCATCTACCAGAGGAAATGGGTTCCATAACCTGAGCATGCCTCAGCCGTAGAAATTACCCAATTTTTGCCTTAAAAAAAAAAGAAGTCAATTAACAAATGGTAAACACCACAGCGTACACTATTGAGTTATGGATGCACAAGGGAGGTTGCTAAGCACGAAAGAAGCGTAAGAGTCGCTCGAGGCGACAGCCGAGAGCGACTCTAGCTTCTTGAGTGCTTAGCAAACCTCCCAAGTGTATCCATAACTCAATAGTGTACGCTGTGGCGTTTACCATTTGTTTTATAACATAACATAACATTGATACATTGTAACTAAAGAGTTCCCTTTTATTTAACAAATCTTACGCGATCAGAGAAAACAAGCGCGCGCGTAAAAATAGTCTTTGCATTTGCTCACGTCAGCAGCGTACACCCATGGGCAAATGGGGGACGCTAAATTGACCAATCAGAGCGCGCGCTTTACTTTGGTTATGTTATAAATCAATATTGAAATTTCATGAATTGAATAAAAGTTATGTTTGCTTTATCTCAGCTTCTTTCAGAACCACGCTTTCAGTGCATAGAGAAGATTAAAACAATCGGTGAAACATACATGGCTGCTGCTGGAATTAAACCTGAATCTCAGGTTAGTATTGGGAATAAGAACAACAGGATTAGGTACTGCTGTATGCTTAATCTGTCAGCAATTTGTCTGGTGGAACCTTGATTTAACGAAGTGCCAAGGGACTGGGGAAATCTGCCAGAGGAAATGGGTTCCACAACCTGAGCATGCCTCAGCTGTAGAAATTACTCAATTGTTGCCTTAAAAAAAAAAAAAAAGAAGTCAAATCAATATTAAAATTTCATGAATTGAATAAAAGTTATGTGTTTGGTTTATCTCAGCTTCTTTCAGAACCACGTTTTCAGTGGCATACATTTTACATGTAACGTATACATTTTGCTATATGCATACATTTTACTGTAACTTTAGCCAGGCTGAAACTGAAGTATTGTTAATTATACCGAGGACTTCGTTATATAGAGGTTCGTTAAATCAAGGTTCCACTGAACCTAGATGTAAGAGGCTGTGACTATCCTGATTAGAAACAACAACGTCCTTGAACCTTCAGACAACAGCATAACAATTACAATAGAATACAATATTCTTTATTTAACGAAGGTGACGTAATTAACCCAATGAGTTGTCTAACTTACGGCCTTCACAACGATACAAACCCACCATCCCACCCCAGGGGAGGACATCCCTCCCTCGTGATAATCTCGTGTGTGGGAAATTAACGTCTCCTACCCCAACCCTTCAGGAGATGGGACCTCCATTTATTCGTCCCTATCCGAGAAGACTAGAATATCTAACCATTTCTTGATGTTATAGAAAGGTAGCAATTTCTTCTCAATTATTTTAAGACCTTGAGTGTTGGTCCGGCCGGGGCTCAAACCCTCGGACCTCCCGCACAACAGCCCAGCGCTCTATCCATTGGGCTAACTATCAGTTTTACATTCCATGATATATCTCTCTTTCAAGTTGTAAATAACTGGAAAAATTCAAATGGAGTCAAACGAAAAATTGCCATGGAAAACAAGTTGTGTCTTTTCTGCATGACTGAAAGAATACTTGAAGTATCTAAGGAAGCCAAAATACCAAGTCCTAGAACTTAATCAGCTGGTTATAGAGACTTGTAACCTGTTATCATGCTTTTTGAAGTTCTTTTTTTATCATTGAATTAGTCCTCTTTTTCCTCTTTTGCTCTGATATCAACAGTAAATCTCCATATGTTCACCTCAACTTACTTTAAATAGAAAAATACATATTGCAAATGGATGGTTTGATGGTTTTCAGACGGTTTGAAATAAGCACCGATTTATAAATTTTATCCAAATTCACAGGTTATTTTCTTGGGAAATGACTTTAATTACAAAGTTCTTGCACATTATAACAAACTCTCCCAATATTTAAGGATCCTTCATAACACCTTGATTAAATCATGGTCTCCAGGCAGGATCAGAACCACAGTAAGCTACAAAAGTAGTTTAAATAACAGTTGTAGAACACTAGAATCTTGAAAGAAGAAAAAAAAATTTTAATTCCTCTTTACCCAACATTTTCTCTTGTTATACCCCTCCCCACAGTAAGATGTAGTTTTAGTGTAGACTAAAACTACATCTGGAAGGAAGGATGGAATGAAATTAGCTTGTCTGAGGATAAGAATACTGCATTTCAATAAAATAATAGGTTGTGAGAAATAGATAATAATCAAGAAAGGTCTTGTCACTAAGGTGATTATGTTCGCAGCACAGTAGATCGGGTGCAATCAATCATTAATGTTGATGTTGTTTTCCAAGAAATACTGAGACCTTTTTCCATCTTGTTCTTACAGGAGAAACTGGCAACCCTAAGTCACATAGTAACAATGGCTGACTTTGCCATGGCAATGAAAAAGAAACTAGCTGACATAAATTTACATTCCTTCAATGACTTCAAGATGAAAATTGGTAAGTTCAAAGTTGCCCTACTGTTAATTTTAAAAGAATTACCTTCTTGAAGATTAAATAGAAATCCATTTTCTTTTTTCTCCCCTCTTAAAGTGCATATGACACGAATTTTTTTCTCTTGTTTCTTGTAGTTGGATATCTATAGAAAACGTTTCGAAGCCTTAAAAGTGCTGGAAAAGTCTAAAAAGCATTCTTTTTGCTTTCAATTAATACGCGCAATTTGCCTTCAAATTTGTCCCGGTCATCACGCGGCCAAAATCGCATGTGATATCGTAACGTGTTGTCACATTGTGTACCTCAATGGAACTTTCAGAAGAGTTGGACTCAAAGGAATCATTAGAATCACTGGACATCTTTACCTTTCAATGCACTATCTGTCTACTACGAAGTACTGCTGAATCCTCTTAGCAACAACAGACCTTCGTAGCAAAGGTATACAATGTGACGTCATGAATAACTTTGACGGTGATAGGTCCCCGTCTTCGGGACAAATTTGAAGGCAAATTGCGCGTATTTTGAAAGCAAAGAAAATGCTTTTTACATTTTTCCAGCACTTTTGAAGCTTCAAAACGTTTCCTGTAGATATTCAACTACAAGAAACAAGAGAAAAAAATTTCGTGTCATATGCACTTAAAGGTAGTGGTGATTAATGCATGATAGTTATCTTTATCGGTTACATGTTCAGATCTCTGGCTTGATTTACTTTTTTAAATCTAACTGTTAAGTTAAAATTTTTATTACACGACTCGGGAAGTCAGAGGGCCAATAACTAAAATCAACCAACCAAAATGCTCTATTGCCGGTCAATATTCTCTTAGTATTGGACTGGGCACTGTCCCGAATGGTCCCGAATGATACCGCACTTTTGTCCCTTTGAACTTCAGTCGTGTAATAAATCTCTTATAAACCAAGCTTGCTCGGGACCGTACTGGAAGAATATCGGCCCTCGGTCTTTTTTGTACGGACCGAGCGCAGCGAGGTCCGTACTGTCAAGACCTCGGGCCGATATTCTCCCAGTACGGCCCTCGCGCTTGGTTAGTAAGATATATATACTGAAGACATGAAAGTGTTAAGTTACAAAGTCTCAAGATGCAAACTACACAACAGTAGTAGTTATATTAACATTCATTGCTGACACCAGGTATGATATGATATGGTTAGGAGACAAATTTAAATCGAGTTGCTTTTGAAATTGTTTGAAATTGTTTGAAATTGTCCAAGTAAAGATCTCTCCCAGAAAGTGGTCACAAAATAAATGTGATGGAATTGTTTTCCTGACAGCTAGATTGATGAGAATGTCTTCCTTATAAGCTGACATTTTTCCTTGTGTCTATTAAAATACTTTATTGCAGTCATTCCCAGTGTAATAACTGTAGTTGATGTCACTTGCGAAAAGTTCCAAGATTGGAACTAAGAGCAGTTCTTACAGATTCGATTATTTCTATACTTTTATCTCTTTTTCTACTGTTTCGATAATCACTACCATTCCTACAGTTTCTGCTATTCCCACCTTTGTTATTACTTTTACAGTCACAATTTACTGAATTGAAATGGCTAGACCTTCCGATAAGTCTATACCACATGAACTTTTGTTTTTGTCTTCTCGCTTTCCAAGGTTTAAATTTTGGTCCTGTTGTGGCTGGAGTGATTGGCGCCCACAAGCCCCAGTATGACATCTGGGGTGATACAGTGAATGTGGCTAGCCGTATGTACAGCACTGGCAAGCCTAAGCATATACAGGTCTGCTACACTTACGAATTACGGTCAAGTCGCCGACGGTTCAACTCTCTAACCCCAACTCGCCGACGTATAAAATGGAGTAGAGACGTCGGCGAGTTGGTCCTCAGTCCAGTACAACTTATTACGTGTTATAACTCGTTCGCGTCGTTGTTTATCTTTCTTTGTTCGCCATAAGATGCTTAAAAACTTTATTGGACACAAAAAGAATTGCATTCTACTAAAGATCTTGTCTAGAAAGCTAAGTTTTGTTAAAAAATCTGACCGATTGACATGATGAGTCTTTAGTGTCGTGCACAACAACTCGTTCTCGTTTGAAGTTGTTATAGTAATTGGCGATGTTTCTCTTGCTTTATTCGCCTTGAGATCCTTCTTAATTTTGTTTTTAATAAAAAGAATTGCTTTTTACTAAAGATCTTGTCTAGAAAGCCAAGTTTTCTGAAAAAAAATCTGACCGACTGACATGATGAGTCTTTACGGTGTTGTTGTCACACAATAAATATAATTTATTGTGTGTCAACAACACCCCAAAGACTCATCATGTCAATCGGTCAGATTTTTTAAAGAAAACTCTGCTTAAGATCTTTACTAGAAAACAATCATTTTTATTTCCAACGAAGTTTATAAGCAACTCATGGTGAATAAAACAAGATAAACATCGGTAACGACTATAAAAGCTTCAGACGCGAACGAGTAAGTGTGACAACAACACTGTAAATACCATAGTTAGTAGAGGGGTCCCCCTCTACTAACTATGGTAAATACTCATCCTGTCAATCAGTCAGATTTTTAAAGAGAAATTGGCTTGCTAGACAAGATCTTTAGTGAAAAATAATTGTTTTCATTTGCTATTTGCTACAGAGTTTAAAACGATCTCGAGGCGAATAAAGCAAAGTGAACATCGCCAATGACCGAAAAAAGCAGTAGACGCGAACTAGCTATACTATTGCGTGACAACCACAGCAATTACTACGTGGTATTTAAGTCTTTAATAATAATAATAATAATAATAATAATAATAATAATAATAATAATAATAATAATGATACCTTTATTAGACACGATAATGTTTAGAGCTGAACAGCTTGTGGGGTCGTGTAAATCTAAATAAACTCTAAATTAAATAAATTCAAGATGATGGTTTTTGAGGAGAGGGGAAAACCGGAGTACCCGGAGAAAAACCTCTCGGAGCAAAGTAGAGGACCAACAAACTCAATCCACTTATGACACCGGGTCCGGGAATCGAACCCGGGACACATTGGTGGAAGGCGAGCGCTCTCACCACTTCGTCAACCCTGCTCCCCTCTCAAAAGTCTTTTGTAGGTTAGCGGGCCAAAACAGTTTACGAGTCAACATTTTACGTGTTTATTCCTTACGATCTACTTAAGATGTTACTTTACTTCAAGTTTAAACACTCGATAAAAGTTCAGGCGATGTGACTCAAAATATCGAGCAACATGACTATGAGTTTCGGGCAATATGACTTCAAGCGAGATCACTTTCGGGTGACTCGACGGGTTACCACTCGTTCGCGTCTGAAGCTTTTACAGTCATTGTCGATGTTTATCTTGTTTAATTCGCGTTGAAATCCTTAAAAACTTCCTTAGAAATGAAAAGAATTGTTTTTTAAAAAAGGTCTCGACTAGAAAGCTAAGTTTTCTTTAAGAAATCTGACCGATCGACATGTTGAGTCCTTACGGTGTTGTTGTCACACTCACTTTTTCGCGTCTGAAGCTGTTATAGTCATTGGTGATGTTTACCTTTCTTTGCTCGCCATGAAATCCTTAAAAACTTTGTTGGACATAAAAAGAATTGCATTTTACTAAAGATCTTGTCTAGAAAGCTAAGTTTCCTCAAAAAAATCTAACCGATCGTCATGATGAGGCTTTACGGCGCTGTTGTCCACAACAACTCATTGGCGTTTTGCTTTGTTAGCCTTGAGACTGTTATAAACTTTTTCGGAAATAAAAAGAATTGCTTTTTACTAAAGCTTTTGTCTTGAAAGCCAAGTTTTCTGAAAAAATCTGACCGATTGACATGATAAGTCTTTACGGTGTTGTTGTCACAATAAATAACTCGTTCGCGTCTGAAGCTGCTATACTAATTGGCGATGTTTATGCTTTATTCGCGTCTGAAGCTGCTATACTTATTGGCGATGTTCATGCTTTATTCGCGTTGAGATCCTTCTAAACTTTGTAGGAAGAAAAAGAATGTTTTTTTTTAACTAATGATCGTTTACTTTTCTACATGTTTAACTTCTAATAAGTCGTACTGGATTGAGGACCAACTCGCCGACGTCTCTACTCGATTTTATACGTCGGCGAGTTGGCGTTGGCGAGTTGAACCGTCGGCGACTTGACTGGATACCACACTTACTCTTGTGTAAATCTGGTTCTACTGAAATCAATACTTTGATCCAATTTTGTAATTTTTATTTGCCATAGAAATATACTTCACAAATTCATAAAATTTTAATTGGTCATTATGTATCAGAAGTGTTTTTTTTTTTTCCTTTTCTTTTCTTTCAACTTTTAGCATCTTGTTGAGGAACAATTAGCCATTGCAATCTCATAAATTCGTTACCTTGTAAATGTGCCTGAGTAAGTTAACTCTAAATTCATGGACTGTTGACAATTGACACCATCTCAGCAACATTTACACTATGTGAAGTCTTGCAGTGTCATAATTGTTGTGCTTTCATCCTATCAACCTTTCCAATTAACTTCACAGAGGGAGATCCAACAACTTTGTTCTTTCCCTAATGGGTGTTTCGTGCCAAAATAAATAGAGCATACACAAGGGTATTGTTTGTGATACTGTATGTCCACCAACTTACATCCCAAAGCAGTTGAAGTGGATGTCTAGGGCTGCCTTTTCCAAATGCAGTCAACTTGGTTTAAAATTTCCTGAGTGGAACCTTTGAAGCCCCTTTTCCAATGGAAATGTTGTGAAGTGAAAGTTTGGTCTATGTTAAGTTTAATTTTTTTTTTTCTGAATGGTTATTCATTTATTTATTTGTTTGTTTTTTGCCTCATAGAGATGGTAAAAATGTGACAACCAGTGACTGCAATTTTTCAAAATTTAATAAAGATGTCTTTGTTTGTCCATGTTATGTAAAATTTTCAAAATACCACCCAGAGTGATGATATGGTACATGGTCAAAGGTATAATCACTCATTTTGGGAGGGATTTCACTTTTGGGTAAATGATGTTTTCTCGTTTATGAGTGCTTGTAAAGTGTAAAGCACTGTTTCCATTACTTCTGTAGAGCATTAATTTTGTAATTATTCCTCATTATATATTTAAATAATTTATTTTAATTGTTACAGGTTACACAAAGTGTTTATAACATTCTCTCTACACGTGGTTACACCTTTGAATGTCGAGGCTTAGTAGCGGTTAAAGGAAAAGGCAAAATGGTCACCTACTGGATGACTGGCAAAGAAGGAGACCAATCAAATGAGTGATCTCACAAATTACCCAACAATCAGTTTGTTGAAAAGTAATATTTATCATCAAAGTTATTTGTAGGATTAACCTTACAAAGTATCTTTTTCTAACATACTTACCCAGAGTCAGTCACTGCTTCTTGTTGTATTCAAAATGTAATAGATCCAAACTCCAACTTGTTTTTATCCAGATTATTTAAGTTCTTGTAGTCACTGATAACATAGCAATAAGGTTTCCCTTTTGGTAGCTGAAAGCATTTCTTTGACATAGTTTCTCTTTGAAACCCTAGAAACTTGTTACAGCTCCAGAGGACTTTACAAACCTGTTTTTCATAGGTTTAGTGGTATAAAAATGCGTGTGGTCTCAGTAATGTTATCATTGGCTAATCCTCTTTGGTGCTTGAAATGTTTTTTCAGTTGGCAGTTACTTACCTTATACAGCAGTTGGCACAGTAGAGATCTGCCGGTCTCTTTTTCTACAATATCCTCTTAATTTTTTCTTTTTGGACAGTCTCTAATGATTTACAGTACAGTTCATTGCACATAATGATGTTGACATGTTTTTTGTGATGCTTGTGTACTTCAATGAACTAATATTACATCAGAGTATTGAAAATATATAGGTAAGACTCTCACTCTGTGGTCACAATATTAATTGTCACTGTTTAACTGATGTTTTGACACAAAATTTTTAGAAGTCAAGAGAAATAGCTTGTCAGTAACCGCTAAATTTAATCTAATTTTCGGGAGAGAAAGTACTCTTAGGTTTCTAGTTCGTTGCTTCGTTGCTTCTTTGTGTAAAGAACTTATTTATAATTTATTTTGAATGATATCACTTAATTATTGAGTAGAAAGCTTGCAGAAATTTTGGGCAATTTCAGACGACGTGGATGACATGCAGCAGTCTGATTAACAAATTCTTTAAAAGAAAGTTAATATATATAGTTAAATTATTAGTATCTGATTCTTATGAGATTTAATGAAGCTACTGAGAAAGTCATTGAGCTTTAGCTTCAAGTTATTAGGCCTATAAAATAATCCTTAATGCTACACTAGTGAGAGTAAGTCATTGTTTTGACTGACTGTATTTATTAAGAAAAACATTGCAGTTAAAAAACTGAATTTCGTCTCTTTACAAGTAAGAAATAAGAAATGATCTTTACCTACTACTATAATAAAATTACAAGGACGACTACTCTTAAAAATCACTTAAATGCGTCCCTCGTACTCTCAACAATGAATGAATTTCCAAATCTATTTGTCTTTATAAGAGGCGTGGCAAACCTTCTCCTCCTTCTCAGCTCATATGAAATAGAAACTGAGGGAGGGAGGCAGGAGGCTGGTAATCTTACTACGTGGATCATTAACAATATATTTAAACAGATGTTCTGTTAAATTTTCCTGGTGGGCCCTGATGGACTCGAGCCCTGCTAATTGAAGGGCGTCCGAGTAGATGGCCGGCTGTTGCTTCCTTGTAACTAGCTAACGGAATGTTTCCTCTGGTTGTTTGTTTTTATTAAAGCCACGTGAAGTGCCAAAGGAAAGCACTCGCATGTAACTAGTTTCGGGTGTTATTGTAGCCTTGATCAATTGAAGTAAGTGCGAATGTCAGCATTCCATTTCCGTGAACAGGACAGCAACTAGTGTATTTTGACAATCTGATGCAAATTTGTGGCATGTTGGAAGAGATGAGGTGTTTGTAGCTTACGTGGTTGTGTAAAATACATTTAGTACAAGTACTTAATTTTTAATTTTTATTTGATAAAGAGATATCAGTAGACTTGGCTGATTGTTGGGAATTTTTAACTAAGTGATTCTAGTAGAAAGTAAATAAGCTTACGAAAGTGACCAACGTCTATGTAGAAATTCAATGGCTATGATCTAATATATTGACAGGCAACATTCCCCTTTGTAAATACGTCATGGTAAATAAAGTGTTTTGTTTTTTGGTCTCTCTACTTGTATTATCTTTTAAAACCTGCTAGTTATTGTTATCCCCAGTAATATCAGTGCTATCACTATTCTTTCATTACTCGACCTACTGAGGCGAAGTGCAGTTTTTTAGAAATCCGAGAAGGGCTTCTTTACCACCTGTGTATTCGGTATTGAATGACTAAGGTTGTCACGAATAGGGTTAGATTTCAATAGTTCACAGTCAACACTTGGTTGAAAAACTGATGTGACTGCAAGTGTTTACTTGAACTAAATAGGGAAAGAGATCGTATGATTTCGTCGATATCGTAAGCTGGTATTTTGTAAATTATGGGAAGTACTGGTTTACGCAACATTATGAAAAAACTTACAGACCCTTAGATTGTAGTCAGCTTTTGTCTGAGCGATGACAGGTGAAATGCTAGATGACAGTGTAGAATCGTTTGTTAGATATACACCTCTTGCTTTTCGTGAAAAGAAATTTTCATCAGAGTCCACAAATCAGACATTCCAATGAATGTGTAATTATGCTTGAAAAATAAAAAAGCGTTTTTTGATTGATCAGTAATAACGATTTTTACATCGGAGGAACATTCATTAAGGCAAATGTTTTACTTTAATGGAAATAACAATCATTGAATTTATTGTAGCAACAACTGCTTCCTGTTAATATTCGTTTACGAGAACAAAAAATTTCATTAAGGTAGTAACATGGCAACGGTTGGAAAGACATGAAACAGTCCATTTATATGCCGTAGAGTCATTCAATACGCCGAGTTTGCACAACTTTGATAGCAAAACAGGTGGTTTACCATACTAGGGCATTCTTAAGGTTGTGAATACAAAAACAGTAATCATGCCATTGTCCATAGCTGTGAGAAGTTTGTCTGTGAGTTGTGCAGTAGCAGTTACTATTGACACTTTTAGTCCGGAAACCAACCTGCTTATTGGGTGATTGCGGCATAGATAATTACTGAGTATCCACAACCACAGGAGCCCATACAATCTGTTTGTGCACAGGTAGCCCAGGCTCTGTCACAGGCTCTTTCACAGTGGATTATTAGAGAGTTTGTATAGTGGTTTATTTGGACTTGCTTTTGAGCTCCATAAATATAAAGTTGTGTGAAATAATAAAAGAAATAAAAGTCTTACCTTCATACAGAGTGCTCTGTGCCGTTCTTGTCGCGATTTGAGGCCGTTTTGCTCTGTTTCAGCTCAACGTCCTAGCGCTACCAAGTAAAAAGGAAGGTAAGAAACCTCAGTCTCACACACGCTCGCCAAAATCGCTCGAAAAACACACTTAAATACTTCCCCTTGAATCGAAACTTGGCAGCACAAAAGCCAAATAGTTGCCCTTCAAGTTCATCAAAACAAATCCCACAAAAGCTGGGTTGTCGAGCAACCAGCCCAGCGAAAATCTCAAATTGACCGCCATTTCAACGCCGTTAGAATGCGCGTCCATCAAAACCTGTGCAGTCAAAAGTTCGTTACGACGAGGTCAGCCTGGACACTAGCAAAATTAGGCCCAACGGGTAGCCCCACGATATGAATGATTAGTCAGAAATAAATACCAACCCACAAGTGGAGGGAATATTTTCCTAAATGGCTTGCTGTTTTGCTAAACATTGGCCACAGTTGACAAGTGTCCACAGTTGCTAGTGTCCAGGCTCTTTCCTTTTAATTATGTTGTTCTTTGGTCTTTTATTTTATTATTATTATTTTATTTATTTATTTATTTTGATCTAGTCAAGCGCGCGCTATTTACATTTTTCGCGTTTTTAACATTCAAATGTAACGTAAGCCCTGACACGTTTTTTGTAACGTACCTTAATATAAATTCAAATGTACAACCGTTAAATGCTCATTTGCAACTGAAGATGACATGAGAATGTCGAAACATGTCTTGTAAATTTAAAATCAAAGTTGTTGTTTCTTTTTTTGAGAACTTTATATTTATGGAGCTCAAAAGCAAGTCCAAATAAACCACTATACAAACTCTATAATAATCCACTGTGAAAGAGCCTGTGACAGAGCCTGGGCCACCTGTGGTTTGTGTAGGCGACTGTTGTTTTCTAGTGAATGTACCAGATTTACCGTTTGCCTCACCCATAGTGATATATTGCTGACTATGTACATAAATCATTGGTAAATAAACGTTGAATTACTTTACCTGTGGTGTATAGTCGTCCTTTTGCCTCAAAAATGTTTTTTTGAACGATTTTGAATAAGTCTGAGTTCGTCGTTAATGCATTACATTATGATTTATGTACATAGTCAGCAATATAACACTATAGCTGAGGCAAACGGTAAATCTGGTACATTCACAATAAAACAACAGTCGGCTACACAAACAGATTGTATGGGCTCCCTGTGTCCCTGTTTAGTCTCTCCAACATAGGTTTCACTGCAGTTCTCATCTCCGCACTTTATACCGTAAACCACATGTGAGATCTTATCTTTGTAGGGCTTATCTTTTACCTTTACCAGCTTCTGTTGGGCGTTACATGGCTCTAAAGTGGCCATTTGAAACGGTCGTAAACGGCCGTTGCCATTTGAAACGGTCGTCCTCAGACATTCCTCAATATTATTGATGATCATGGTCTCACTCAACTTGTGTCTTTTCCTACAAGGCAGGCATCAGTGCTTGACTTAGTGGTTACCAGCCATCCAGATCTGGTGAACAACTTAATGAGCTCTGATGGCATAAGTGGTATTAATGATCACGTCGCTGTGACCTTTGAGTTGAATCTTAAAGTCAAAATTAGCAAGAAGAAACCTAGAACAGTATACAAGTTTGCTAAGGAAAATCTTGAGGATATACACTATGATGCAGAAACCCTCAGTAAGACCTTCAAAAGAGACCCAGAGAATATAGCATCGAGGGTAACTGGCAGTTCTTCATGTCAGGATTATTGTCAATTCTCGATAGTAGAGTCCCAAAAAAAAAGATCGGATCATGGAATGATTCCCGTTGGATTACTAGGGATCTCAAGAAACTATTGAGAAATAGAAGAGGCTTTATAACATCTATAAGAAATCAGGGAAAGCTAGTGATAAACTGAAATATCGGAGTTTCCATAAAGCATTAAAAACCAAATTTAGATCAGCACAAGATCAACACATAGCAAATACTCTTGATAGTGCCATGAAGGAGAAACCAAAGAAATTTTGGTCCTATATTAAATCTAAATAACAAGATCAAATTGGCATTCCTCCATTATATGTTAATGGTAAGGTGTTGACTGACAGTACAAGTAAAGCTGAAGCTTTAATCAACCATTTTCAACAGATTTTCTCCAAAGAGAATTCTTTCTCCATGCCGAACATAGGCTGCAGTGACATTCCAGCTATGGAGTCAATAATTTTTAACAGAGAGGGTATAATTAATCTTCTTCTTAGGAACTTAGATACCAAGAAAGCCAATGGCCCAGATAAATTGCCTACTACTCTACTTAAATAACTGCATCAGAAATAGCTGAAGTTGTTTCTTTCCTTTTCTCCCAGTCATATGAGTCAGGTCAACTCCCCAATGACTGGAAAAATGCTTATGTAGTACCAGTTTTTAAGAAAGGTGACAGACATGACCCACGTAATTATAGACCTGTTTCCCTTACTGCTGTATTATGTAAAATCATGGAAACTATTATTTATAGGCACATTATGCACCATCTTGAGGACAATGACATCTTATTTGCGAACCAACATGGATTTCGAAAAAATCATTCATGTGAATCTCAATTGATTCTGTGANNNCTTACCGCAAAATAACATCAGGAACATATCTTTGTATCGACCCATAAATTTCAATGTAAACAATAGAGAAATCAAACATTGACAGAACCTTTAATAACATTTAATTTAACAGGAAAACATCAGTTATGTCTTCAAGAATGTAGGTGTATGAATTCACATTCATGCTAATACTTACAATAATATTTACAATGCATTGATCATATTGAAGAGAAAGTGATTCCCATAATGGGCGTAAAAGTCATTCAGCTGTTTGCCTTACAACATTATTGACATTGCTAGGTTGTAACGGTGAAGATATTGGAGGTAAACCTGACTACCTTGCAGTACAATTACTCTATGAATATAAGAATAACTGTCGCGAGCTTGTAGTTCTGAGTTGATTGTTCAAATGCTATGCATGAATTGTAAGAAACTCACCTCTCCGAGGATTTGATTTCTATGCAACCTGCAATGTGTGCCAGACAAAAACTAAATTTATGAGGCACTCAACATTTCAAAGTAAAATCCTTCAATAAAACCTACACTTACCGTCCATGCTTTTTGCTCCGACGATCGCGTTCGAAGAGCGTGCTCAAAACTGTCAGACGCTTTTAGTTCCCTTTACTCCGCCATTTTGAATTCTCAGGCGGGTTAGCGCTGTACACCCGTTCCCCATTCCCCGTTCCCTGTTCCCCGTTCCTTGTTACTAGTTTTAGTAACATCCACTTATAAGGGACAGGCTCGTCATTGGCTTAAAGAATCAAGGTGACAAGGTAGGACTCTTGAGAGAAAAATCCCTAGACTTGAAGAAAGCCATTGAAATGTGCACTACGAGTGAAATCGCTTCGCAGCAAATCAAGACGATAGCAGGCGCTGGAGACAACAAGTCAGAAGATGTAAAGAAGTTCAGCGACAACAAAATCCGTTACGGAAGTCGTAGTAAGAAAAGAGATGAAGAAAGATCGTCAAATTCAGCGAAGAAATCTGAATAAAGGAAATCCGAAGGATCTTCCGAACCGACCTGTAAGTATTGTGGTCGTAAACATTATCATGAAAGAAGAACAGAGTCTCCCGCGTTCAAGGAAACGTGCAGCAAGTGTCCAGAAATAGGCCATTTGCGTCTGTTTGCCGATCATTAAAGAAGGTACAATAATTCGAAGAAGACGAGGACGACAGTTCGGATGAAAGCTGTTTGCAAGTGGAAACTGTGTCTCTAGTCCAAACTAAAGCAAAACAGTGGCTTGCAGATATAGAATTCTGCAAATCAGCTAAAGAAGACAAGT